ATCCCTCTGAGGTCAAACACCAAACCCTCTTACTTCAAATGTTTTACAGTTGTACACTTCATGAATGCTCTGAAATCAAACGTGTTTGTACATGACATTAGTAAATGTTGAAGTTGTTACGCCAAGGTTGATGAATGGCGCGCCAATCGTCAATTTCATAAATCTACATACATTCAAGCATCTTCTGCGTTCTGTGGGAATAACGTACAAAACTTATTATTGGGCATTTTCCTGTATAACAAGATTAATAAATATATTATTACTGTTGTCAGGGCTGTGTGTGGTGCTTAGTGGCAGATGTTTCAAAGTGAACTCCAATCTTACGTCCTTTACTCAACAGGATTAGCCACAAACAGTCAATAGAGACATTTGGTTGTTTTCACTAATAAAGCTAACACTCTGAAATAAGTTTTCAGCTGGATCAGGTGACTTCCTCAGACAATTTGTAATTAACGATAAATGCCGTGTGCAAATGGGACTTTTGTATGCTTAACAAGCATTTATGATCAGAAGAAACTTTCCAGAATCAAGTGGTGCAATATTTTTCGCAACGCCGTGGTATCGTAACGACGTATCAGAGGTAACCCGTTCGTTTCGGTTAAACTCACAGTCATCGATCGAGGTTGTCCCTCACTTTCATCACTTGTCCCCTGTTACCACGAAAAAAGCACAGAGCATGACGGATCTTGTATCCGGTAGCCTGTTACGATGGCACTGGCCCGCCACCTCACCGCAGGCAATTTTCTAACTGTTGGGAAGGGGACCTGTTCGCCGTGCACACGAACCCTCGTCGTGTCTGAACATTAGAACGTTGGCGAGGCCGGGTTTTGTGACGATCGACAGCGTCGTTCAGCAGCGGCGTTTCGGTGTTGTCTCCTCGTTGAGTCACACCGACGACAGTTGCTCACCTCGCGCGACCACGACACCTGTCCGACTGTCGTGCAGCGTTGTCGAACGTGTACCTGGAGGACAGAGGAACAGCCGCGAAACGCCGGAGGTCGATCCAGTAAGACCGAACATACGCGCGAATTTGTAAGGTGTTTTTGGAGTGAGGTGAAGAACGGCTTCGCAGCGCTGCAATCAAAACTGGCGGAGCGATCGCATGGATCTGGTTAATGTTGGCTGGTTGAGGGAACCCGCATTTTTCAATGGACAGAATAACGCAAGGGGCGGAGGTAGCACAACGTCTACTAATAAGTTCACAGAATTATGATTAAATCAAACAAGTTAATATTTAAACTTGTTGAACCTAAATTCGAACAATTCAAAGGCTACAGACATGAACAGGACAGCGCTGCTAAGTCTTTATTTTCAACCGGTATAATGATTCTCTCAAACACGAAGCAAATGAGCCTAGTCGTTCTGGAGGTCATATCAGTACGAAAAATATGCTTTACTTAACATGGCAAATCATCTCACAAAGTGGGACCAGGTTTTAACTGGTCTTGACTGGTCTTATGCAGCCAAATCGTTCTTATGCTCTTTAATTCATCTGATGCAGTTGGCGCAGTCGCATTGTCCCCCTGCATCTACGGACCTCCCCGGCAGTCACTGTTCAATGTTACTATGACACCTGCTGTGCATGCATGCAAAGCAGCATCCATCACTCCATGTTCGATATATGTGTATGTGTGTATTAACTTCGGCTATTGAATTCAAGATCCATTTTTCTTTTTCAGACTTGTCCTCATTATGGATGCTCAGAAGTGCATGATGATATTCATATAGCCATTCTTGTCTTCCTCTTTCTGCCTCTGCGCTGACCAAGCAATTTGACTGTAGGTTCGTTCAAGCGTGTTTCCGGACGACCAAATCGTCGTTTGTAATCCAGTTCATAATTCTTGACGTTCACCTGGCTGTTTCATAAGCATAAACCACGTAGAATATCTTAACTTTGCGTGCTAGTCGCGTACAGACCAAAATATCATGACTATTGTCTGAATAGGTAACGTTTTACAGTCGTTCTAATCTAGAAGCCGTCACCAAGGATCACACACTTACTTTGCATAATCATATCAATGCATCTGACTCCTAAACTCAATGGACATTAAGCAAGCTTAAGGAAGCACCTGTCCTCAACACATAACATGATTTAACGTGACAGACCGGTTACTCAGCCGGTAGAGCGTTTGACTCAAAATCGAAAAGTTCTGGGTTCCAGCCCCAATCTGGGTCACACCCTTGTTTTCCTTTCGATGTTGAGAAATTGGCCCCACTCTGCTGGAAGGAAACAAGGGACTACACACAGTGCCTGCCACGTAGCTGTTGTCGACGGTTCTACCTTTAAAATGAAGCACTCCTGACTGATTGCATTGCAGTAAGGACTCAGCCTCACCAGTGGAAAAAAGGACACCGGAAATGGCCCCCGTGACGGTTATAAACTTTCCTTTACTTTTCTTACCACCTTCCTGATAT